AATTGACTTCGAACAAGTTGGGCCGAAATCTAATAAATGTATATTTGTGGGGTATCCTAAGGAGACCAAAGGATACTATTTCTACCAAAAAAAAGACTAATAATTTTTGTTGCTTGTACTGGTGTCTTCTTAGAGAAGGAATTTCTTCTAAGAGGTACTAGTGGGAGAAAAGTAGAACTCAATAAAGTTCTAGTACCATAGGATATATTAGATGAAGGACGAGATGATGTGCCACAAGAAGTGGTTGAACATCATGAGGAGGTTACTCCACAATTCGTGGATCAAAGTGAACCACCTCAAGTAGCACACAAGCAGTATAGATCTGGAAGAGTACGTCATAAGCTCGATAGATATGGTTTTCTTGTCACTTAACATGGCAATGTACTAGTCTACCAAGACAATGAAACCAAAACCTATGATGATGCTATATTAGATCTAGATTCTGTTAAATGGCTTGAAGCCATGAAATCTGAGATGGACTTCATGTACCAAAACCAAGTATGGACTCTGGTGGATCCACCTAAAGAGGTAAAACCCATAAGGTGTAAATGGGTCTTCAAGAAGAAGACTGAAATGGATGGCAACGTGTTAGATTAGGAGCCCTTGAGCTAATCATATTGTTGTATGTTGATTCTATGGATCATGGATATTCAATATAGAAAAGACATTAACTATATTATGTAAAGCATATTTCATATGTATGTATTAATAAATTCCCTTAGAATGGTTGAACCGTGACGATGAAATCAAGCAGTGATAAGTCTTGATTGTGAGATCCCTGTGGTCACTTCAGGTGGCCATCCTAGAAATGTCTGTAGCTGAAGTGTTATTCTAACCTAGGGCACAGATAATATGGTAAAGCTATCACAGTGTTAAATAACTCTACCGAAAGGTAGTGATTGATTGTAACACCCTATCCAGCTGGGTACCCTCTAAGAATTCCATTATGATGGAAACTTAGAGATTCATGCTTGGAAGGTTGTGTAATTTAAAACGTAAACCATGGTTACAAACATGTACTATATGAAAATAATAAAATAAAAACTTCTCCTCTAATTTACATTACTTTCATAATCAACCTGTCGAAATATTACTATATATGAAAAATATGATTTAAAGAAAACAACTACATCAATTGTTTGTAAGCAAAAGCAAATATAAAATATCTTCTATCATGTATAAGCAAGACATTCATTATTTAGTAAAACTTAGATTGTGTGTGTGTGTGTGTGTGTGTATATATATATATATATATCAAACCATATATATTAATCCAAAAACATCCGTTATATAACATCGTAATTGTTTATAAACAAATATTAACATGCATGCCCCCATGCATCCTTGACTACCTCTCACCATTACTGATTTAACTATTACCTGCAAAACATGGAAACTAGGAAAATGAGTGCTAATCACTCAGTAAGGGTATCAATCATTTAACCCTATGTAACATTCTTAAACATGGAAAAAAATGTATTTACTTGTACATGAACCAAACATTAATAACATAAAATAACATATATATGTAATATAACATAGCATATTCAGTTCATATCATAATGCATAATATAATTCATGTAATGCTTTCCTTTAATTTTCATGAAGATGCACTTCAATGCCATGCATGCATAAATACATTTTTCTTTGAAAACTTTTTTACTTTCTGCAGATCGGACTAAGCTGAAGCATGGATTATGGAACCTTTGGCCAATGAGTTAACCTTAACTTATAACACAGTCCCTGGTAGCGTGCCAAATGCTCCAAATTAATAACTTTACTAACCTAACTACTAAATTGCATATAGGGTGAGCAAAGGTCAATCCCATAGGGAATAATTCGATTAAATCCTATATTCTAACCAATAACCACAATGAAAACAACAGAAAAATAAAATAAAATAAAATCCTAAACAGTAAACATGACAACAAAATAATGAAAGGGGTTGTAGACAATGCAATCTAAAGTGAAACGAATAAATCTCCAATGGTAAAAAATGTCAGATTAAAAACAACCAGTTCTAGGTTCAAGATCCACCTAAACAGGCATTGGACATGAACTAACTGTAACATTATTCTATCTCGTTATTATGGAATTATTGACCCTAGTAAACAATAAGCTCTATTACCCGAATTTTCCCTCAATTGTCACTACTAAAATAAGCTCTTCAATTAGATCCTAACCCTTGAACAACCTAGAGTAAGCTCTCTAAATTTAATTCAATGGTAGCTTTAAGAATTAGGAAAATAGATCAATCCAAGCAACAATCACGCAAGATCGGATTATTTAATTTAGGTTATGTTATTCAAGGTGACAGATTGAGAACTTGTCCATAATCATCTATCATCATATGTTACTCATTGAATAGAAAGAGGACAATTACGTATCACAATTCCTTATTCTAAAATATAAAATTCCGATTAAACAATTTAGCAGGCCATTACTAAATCACCCAAACAAAAATCATAAACAATTAAAACAAAATAACATAAAGAATTCCAATAAGAATGAGACTAAGAACAATGTTAATGAAGTTAAGTTACACCAATGACATGAATTCAGGCTTCAAAATCCCCTTGAACTGAAGAAGAAAGATCAGCTGCCCATATTGACGTAGAAAGTAAAAAAAACAAAACAAAAACCTCCATTGCCGTTCTCCCTCCCCAGTTTAACCTAACAACTAATAAATAAATAACATGTTTTTCCTCAATTCTACCCCAGGAAAAAAGGAAATTACTTTCCTAGATCTTTCCTAAACGATAGACTTCCAAAACTATCAATTCCTTATCAGATATGGAAAACAGAATTCGTAATCCAGCTTGCACCAGGATTCTCACAATGTAAAAGAACTTTTCTAGGCTTGGTCACTTCATAAAAGTTTTATTCCTAGATGTGTAGATGAATTTGGGCTTTTGAATCACCTGCTTTCAATATCTGAAGCTCCAGTTAGGCCCATTCGAAGACTCAATACTCAGCAAGAAAATCCTTCCGCAAATAGGATTCCAGGTCCGATACCCAAATGAACTCGGATTCTCGCCCATAATACCTTCCTGGAAGGCTTGATTCATCTACTTTACTTTTTCTGAAGAAAACTTTTGCAATCGAGAAATCTGACTCCATGAAAAACCTGAAAAACGCAGCACTGGTCAGAATAACAAAAAATCTGGAATTTCCTAATGTTTTCTCAATTATTTCATAAAGTCTATCCAAATATGCCAAACTTACAAAATAAACTCTAATCAACTCAACTAGGCATAAAACATAACAAAAAACATTATATGGAAGGAATAAAAAAATATATAAATTAAACTCTTATCAGTCCCCATGGTCATGCACGCTATGGGTTGACTGTTCATTTCTTTTAGTCTAGACATGTGCATGATTGAGCTCAGGTTCCCCATAACATGACAACAGTTTCCATAAACTTAAAAATCATTTTGTTCACAAAAATGCATGCCTATGTACCTTGAAAGCATTTTGCTCAAACTTGGGATCAAGTCCCCCTTTTTTTCATCATTAATATGCTTGACATGCTCTATTCTTTAAAAACATACACTTTCCATATATGAACATTTCATTTCATCATGACCATTTCATGGATGCATAACAAATTCATGGAAACATAGAGTTCTTAGGCTTGTTTATACATAAACAAGCTCATAATTAGGTAATACATAACATATTACACATAACCTCCATGGTCATTCATTACATCAAACATATATGTTCAAACAATAATTAAATAATCACAAAGATCACTCATTAAAACATGCTTCAAAACCTTTTAAGCATTATTTCCATACTTGGAATCAATCATAGATTATTAGGCTAAAAAATTAAATTAAGAAATTGGAAGTACTTTTGAGGTAGTCATGCTGCACAGGTCATATTCAAGATACCTTGAGTATACACATCCAATTGATATGATATTGGTCTTGTTTTAAAGCTCTAATAAAGGGCTACAATGTTTATGTTTAGGCCTCAACCCATTTCAAAAGGTAAGATGTCAAAAAATGGCTCAAAAGGCCATGGATTTGAAAGTGGCAACCATGGTAACATGCCTTTTATTTTTATTTTTTTAAGGCTTTTCCATACCTATTTACCTCCACTTACTCCCTAACCTTTCTTAACCATTCTCCCCTATGAAAACATGTTAAATGATCAATAATAACCTCCCTTGTAATATGTTAAATGCTTATGACACAACCATTTCCATTAATTGCCATCAAACTTCAATTTTCTACAATTCACATATAAATCCATCAATTGCAAATTACAACATCAAACCAAGCTCAATTTATTTTGTGTGACAAGAATTAAGGTTCCCTAATACTAAACCTAGAAACCGAATTACCTAATTCTTATTTCATATTAAAGGAAGGTTTCCCTTACCTTGTGTGAAGAAACCATACTCTTTTGCCACGCTCTTCCTCCTTATCTCCAATTGACTCTTTATCCTAACATAATTCATAAGAAAATTAATAACTTGAAATACATAATAGTCATATAAGATAAGGAGTTGAAATTTACCTCCAAATATTCTTAATAAGGGAAGAAATACAAAACACTTAAAGGATTTCAACTAAAAATCTTGAAGTTTCAATGAAGTAAAATCTATGGAGAAGTATTGAAGAAGATAATGGAATAATGTAGATGTGCTGAAGAAGATGATGGAAAGTGGTAGAAAAATGGGTTGACCGACTTATATATGCTAAAAATCAAGATTCTTTTGCAAAAGTCATTCATTTGTCTTTTGCATTTAATGACTTATAACATCATTTCCCTTTTTGTCCTTAACAAATTTCTTTTGATTACTCATCAATCCTTCATCATCTTTATCTTATCAAGCCAACTAAATATCATCATTCTTTTACCACTTTACCCCTAAGACATGTGCATTGTAGTTAACTTAGCACATAAAAGTGAAAAGACTATTTTACCCTTGGACATACCGGTGGGGTTTACATTTCTCCCTCCTTATAGGAATTTCATCCTCAAAATTAAGCAAATAACTCTAGGTAACGATCTCTCATGTCTTGCTTCACTTCCCAAGTAGCTTCCTCAACCTTGTGATTTCTCCAAAGAACTTTGACAAGTGGAATACTTTTATTCCGGAACTCTTTAATCTTTCTTTCCAATATTTGGACTGGACGCACCTCATAAATCAATTTCTCCTTCAGATTCACTTCCTCTGCTTGTAATACATGAGAAGGATCATATATGTACTTGCATAACAATGACACATGAAAAACATTATGCACTTGTTCCATGCTCAATGGTAATGCAAGTCTATAAGCTACTTTGCCAATGTTTTCTAGCACTTCAAAAGCACCAATGTATCGCAGAGCAAGCTTTCCTTTTCTACCAAAACTCATGACATGTTTGTGTGGGGCATTCTTAACAAACACTTTGTCCCCTGCTTGAAATTCCACTTCATTTCTCTTCAAGTTTGCATAACTCTTTTGGCGATCATGGGCTTGTTTCATTCTCTCTCTGATTAATTTGATATCTTCAATCATCTTTTGAGTCATTTCTGGTCCTAAGGCTTGAACCAAGGACTTCTTCCCTCCTACTTCATCCTAATACAAAGGTGATCTTCAATTTCTCTCATATAGAGCTTCACATGGTGCCATCTACATAATAGCCTGATAACTATTATTATAGGCAAATTCCATTAATGGAATTATATCACTCCAATTTACTTTATGATCCATACAATAGGCCCATAACTTATCTTCAATCACCTGATCGGTTCTCTCAGTTTGGCCATCTGTTTGGGGATGATAAGCCATATTAAAAGCTCGCCTTATACCTAGCGCCTTTTGTAACCCATGCCAGAAGGCTGAAACAAATCTTGAATCTCTATCTAAGACTATTGTCTTGGCACACCATGCAACCTCACAATTTCTTTTACATAAATCTGACCCAACTGATCTGAAGTATAGTTGTATCCTTCACTGCTATGAAGTACGTGACTTATTAAGTCTATCCACAATCACCCATAGCGCATCATACCTTTTTTGTACTCTTGGAGGGCCAACAATAGAATCCATAAATATGTCTTGCCATTTCCCTTCAAGAATACTAAGAGGCTGTAGTAATCTTGATGGTCGTTAGTGTTCAGCTTTAACCTACTGACAAATTAAACATTTAGCCACATAATCACTAATATCTTTCTTCATACCTGACACCAGTAGCTTTTCTTTAAATCTTGGTACATCTTTACACTCCCAAGGTGGGTTGCATAAAGTGTATCATGTGCTTCTCTAAGAATTTTACTCTCCAACTCTATATCTTGAGGAGCACATAACCTATCTCAAAATTTTAGAATACCATTCACTACTCTAAAATTTGTCTCTTTGCCCTCATTTACTCGCCCATAGATTTCCTTGCAAGAATCATCAAGTGCTTGTTTTTCTTTGATCTTCTCTATTAAAGCGTATTTGATTTCCAATCTAGCACATCCTCCAATTACAACCTCAATTTGCTCCTTGAGGATTTCTCACTACAACACTTTTTGTACTGTTATTTGGAATAGAGGAACTTTCTGACTTAAGGCATTTGCTACTACATTAGCTTTCCCAGAATGGTACTTGATTTCACAGTCGTAGTCTTTGACTAAGTCTAACCATCTTCTCTGCCTCATATTCAACACTTTTTGGGTGAAGAAATATTTTAAACTCTTGTGGTCTGTGAAAATACTGCTCTTGACACCATATAGATAATGACTCCAGATTTTTAGGGCAAACACACCACTGTACCAATTCTAAATCATGTGTATGGTACTTCAATTCATAATCTTTTAGCTGTCTAGAGGCATAGGTTATCACCTTCTTATTTTGCATCAATATTATCACGATGGGAGCTATCCTCTATCTCGCCACCTTCGGGCTCAAGGGCATTCCCCGCGCGTCAGCACATCTAAGGTATTGTCCTCTATGGGTCCTTCTGGCCACGCCTCCTTCAGATCCTCACGGCTTTGTTTTCTTCATAGCCTAATGGTACTCATGTTACTTGGCCAAGGTATAAGTCCAAGGTTCAAGTCATGGGGGAGGCGTTCGCAAGGTGAAAAAAAAAGACCACGAAGCAAAACAAAGCCATGAGGGTCCGAAGGAGGCGTGGCCAGAAGGACCCATAGCAGACAATACCTTGGACATGTTTGATGCATGGGGAAAGCCCTTTAGTCCGAAGGTGGCGAGATAGAGGATAGCCCCCGGTCAGGACAAATACTGCCCCAAGACCACTATGTGAAGCATCAGTATAAATGTCATAATCAACACCCTCATCGGGCAAAGCTAAAATGGGAGCTAAGGTCAATCTCCTCTTTAACTCCTAGAAACTCTGCTCACATAAATCTATCCACTGAAATGGAGTCTCCTTCTTGGTAAGTGCAGTGAGTGGACGAGTTGTAAGGAAACAATCTAACCTATGGCAGCAGAAAACAAAAACAAAAATAATGATCGATTCCTTTTTAAACCAAGATCAGGGTACAAATAATATGTGTTAAATCAAAAATCTGTAGTAATATGAACGATTAGAGTAAAGATTAAAGTTCATATGCATGTTTGGAGGCTCCTTCAAACTTGTCTCTGACTGGGTCCGCTACCGATTCAAAATAGAATCGAACCAGCGGTAATCCATACGAAGATAACCCAAAGAGCTAAAGAGGAATTTGCTAGATCCTCTTTAGCTTATCAAATCAAAGAGACTTTGATTCAATGACCAAGGGTGGCGTGAGATGTAGAGAGAAAGTGGGAGAGAGGGCTGCCTCCTTTCAATGATTGAATAATCACACAAATGAATTCTCTCTTAAAATCACAGAACACATGCACTTATATAGTGCATGTGAAACCCTATTCCAATAAGAAATAGGCTTGGGCTCCAACCCAAACAGCCCCTATGTCCAAACACTTCCAATCATGATATTTTATTTTAATTATTATTATTCCAACACATGCACTTATATAGTGCATGTGAGACCCTATTCCAATGAGGAATAGGCTTGGGCTCCAACCCAAACATCCTCTATGTCCAAATGTTAGAGCAGATGCCCTAGAGCCAATCAATTATTGTAGAATTGACTCTTTGTAATAATGTTCATTAATCAATAAAAGGCATTTTATTCTATATCGCGTAAATCATTATTATTGCAATATGTATTGATATATGTCCTTAGAATGGTAGAACCGTGACGAGGGTATCAAGTGTTTCAAATCTTGATAGTGAGAACCCTATGAGCACATATGGTGGCCATTCTAGAAACGTCCGTAGCCCCAGTATTATTCTGAAGTAAGGGCACAGATAATACGGTAAGGCTATCATAGTGTTGAACGACCCTGTCGAAAGGCAGTGACTGATCTCACTTGTCAAGGTTGTTTGGTGACAACCTGGTGCAACACATGGGTGTTTGTTGTAGGCGATTACACCACAGCAAGTTCACTGGACTGACCCACCAGAGGATTCCATATGGATGGTAACCCCAGTGTCTATGGAACAAATCCTCTAACGAATGGTGGTGCATGTGATCCTTAGACTTGAGATCACCGGAGCGCCTTGTGCACCGATTGGTGTAGTTTGACACTAGCCTAACGCAGTTCTTTTCAGAGCTGTCAATACGGTGGTGATTGGCTGCATCAAGGAGTGTATCAAGACTATGGTGGATTGACAGAGGATTTATCACTCCCGGGTACGGGAGAAAGTTATCTCACGGCGCAATTCAGTATATGGCAATGACACTAAAACTGTGGCCACAGTGGGATTGAGTTGTTGCTCTATCCAGTTTATAATACGGGTCATTGGTCCAGAAACTGAATAAATAATATCGAGAGTAACCGAAGGTTGACACTATTTCTATGCCTTCGTCTCGTCGAGATAACGTATGATGAAAGGATCGAATTGCACGGTAACCATATCGTTGACAGGTAGCTACTTTGCTGAATCCGAATCTATCGGGTGGCCATGATGCCTTGCTAGGGGCCAATCTTGGTCTGTGTATTAGTGAGACGATTAATTGGTGTTAATCGCAATACTATACACTGCCGATATGATGAGGAGCCTAAGGGTCACACACATAGAAGACAATTTAAGATGCAAGAAGAAAGAAGGGCGTTTTCGTCTTTTAAGGCGAAAGGGTATTTTGGTAATTTCACAGTGCAATTAAATTTGCTGAGGTCGTAGCCTTTATTTAATTTGTTAGAAAAATTAAATAAGTGAAATTACGTTTAAATGTGTGTTCGCACATATTTAAATATATTATCATTATTGTTAAATGTTAATATATATTTAAATATATATTAATTGATTTTAATTGAGATAATGATGGAAAATAAAATAAATCAAATTGGGAGTGTTTGGCAACATGGGGCGTTTGGGTTGGAGCCCAAGCCTATTCCGTATGGGATTAGGGCAAATTGTTTTTACTATAAAAAGAAAATTGTGTGATTTTTCATGAAGAGATTTTTCTTTGGAAAAACAAAACACATAGCCCCTCTCTTCCACTCCCACGGCAGTAACACCCATTGCCCAAAATCAATTTCAATTGATTTTTTTTTCTTCTTAATCTTGAAGCCAAAGAGGATCTAGCAAATCCCTCTTTGGTTCTTTTAAGATTGTCTTCGTGTGGACTACATAGGTTCGATCCTACACTTGGATCGGTAGCAAAACATTCGTCAACAAATTTGGAGGAGCCTCCAACGTGCGTTTGTTTCTCTTAACTCATGTTTAATATTTCTGCAGATTCTTATGATGATAAAATTGTAAAATTATACCCTTGATCTTGGCTCATGTAAACGATCCTTGAGTTTTATTATTTTTGTTTCCGCTGCGTATACGGGACCGTTTACTAACACCAAACACTTCCAATAATGATATTTTATTTTAATTATTATTATTCCAATTAAACTCAATTAACATATTAACATTTAATAATAATAATAATAATTCATTTAAATATATGCATACATATATAAATATAATCTCACTTATTTAATTTTAACATCAAATTAAATATAGGCAACCACCTTGATGCGTGTTTCTTACAACATGCAAAACTAGCAAGTGCACTAGTCGCTCAGGTAATAAAATGATGGGTAGGATATCGTTCCCACGAGGACTGTTAGCAAAGCACTAAGTTCCCTAATGTTATCAAGTTGAAGTAATTGAATTCTTTGGATTGGAGGGAGCAAGTTTTAATTTAAAAACAACAAAATGAAATTTACTAAGGTGAAAACTTGATTAAGAAAGCAATATAAAAACACGGAATATCAATTCAAGTAAAACGGGTAGGGTTTTGACTTCATTTGGATTTTTATGGGTTAGACCTAAAATTACACTATATTCACATTCATGCGCAATGGTTGTAAATCAAATTCACTAATATGTTAAACATACCCTCTCGGGCTATGTTTTCCTATTCATCCTTATTAACAATCCGCACCCAACAAATTGAAGGTTAATAATTCTAAATTCATTAAGCACAAGAATCCTAAATTGATTTCATTAATTCTTGAATCTATCTCTAGCATCCAATACT